CCCAGTAGCTCCTTGCGTCTTAGTGGCATTATCACCTTGCTTGGAGCAAATTTAAAAAAAAAAAAAAAAAAAAAATAGATGTATGTGCAGCATTTTTCAACTCAATGGACTATCCATCTAGATTTTGAATTCTATTTGATCACTTCGCACTAATATCCCCCGTCCCCAGCCATGGATTAGATAATAGGACTTGTACCTGGAAAAAAAATCATTCTTTTTAAAAAAATATGTCAATGCAAATTCAGTTGCAAAAAACAAAAAAAAAAAATATTCTTACAATCCAAAATGTTTTAAACCACAAAGAGTTAAACCATGTAAAAAAGAAATCAATCCGTCACACTGATGACATTGGAGAAGGCAAGAACCAGGGCTTGAGATTAGCATCATCCTGGGGATGATAGAAGATTAGTTAGATGACTGGTTAGGTCTTTTGGGGGGGACAATATCAACATTTTTAATCAAAATTTCATTATAATTATTCTAAAAGCAACTAATTTTTTTTTTTTTTTTTTTTTTTTAAATAAATAAATAAATAAATCTTACCTCTCACCAATAATGACAGGTGTGTGTATGTATGCACATGAGTACATACTTAATTTATTAAAAAAAAAATCAAGTATACACAAATAAAAAAAACACAAAACTTAAGTGTTTCTTTTTAAACCAGTGAATAGAACCCAAATGAAAGACTCAAATTTGAGTTACTTTAACTCGCATGGGCAGTTAAAAAAAAACAAAAAAAAAAACTATATTCTTAGTGGTAGGTACGTTTCAACTTTCTGAAACAACTGTTGTTAGTCCTTGATTATTGTTCTTGATATCTTAGAAAAGGTTTCCCTGTTCCAATCACGAGTCCCATAATCCATTAGGGTTTTAGAGGTACCATGTTTACTGCAGCCATAGTAGCAGTGGTGTGTTTTGGGCAAGACAGCCTGACAAAGACCAACCCTCTCCAGGCTGGATTTCCTTCTTCTATACTGGTTGCTAACCAAGGCTATGGGACCCAGTTTGTCCTGCTATTCACCCATAGCTAGGGGAGAAGAGATGCATTCAAAAGTGGAAAGCAAAGAAGCTGGAAGAGAATTCTACAAGCATCAAAAAAAAATGGTTACGTTTAACCATTTCAGCTATAAAATGAGGAGACCTTGCCCCCCAATCTTGTACGGCGCTTAAATTCATAAAGTCTAGGTACCAAAGAGGAAAACTCATCTGAACAATTACCGTGAAAATATTTATACAAAAGACACAGAAGCTATGTTTAAAACCAAGATGCCAGGTTGGGACCAGTAAAATTGCAGATTAGATTTTCAGTAGTTCAGCACAATGTTATACCTCTTCACATGAAGTACTTGTCACCACAAGCCATCTCAACACATGGTGCGTTTACGTTCAACTCCCAGCTGATTATCCAGGGCTGCATTGCTTTTGCATTGTCGCCAACTCAGTTTGATATTACTGTAAAAATATACAGGGCGTTTCAAAAAATTTGATATCCTTTGAGATGTAAATATCACAGAAAGTACATGATTAAGGCAAATGAAATTAAAAAAAAGTATTAATGTTGAAGATCATAAGATTTATTCTTCCAAATCTGAATGAGAAATTCAAAAGCATGTGGATTATGTGAACACACAAAACGCCTTTTTCTCTTCTAGTAAATAGCATTTTTATACCTGTAAAGAAAAAGATTAAAGAACAAAAAACATAAAAATACAAAAAAAAAAAAACATAAAGACATAAAAACATAAAACAAACATTAAAAATAAAGATGCTATTAAAATTTGAAGTCATTTGAAGGAGATCTAACAAAGTTATTAGATTGCGAAATGATATCAAATTTTTTGAAACACCTGTATTATCAGTATGCCTAGATGAACGAAAGACTCTTGCTACTTGTAGGAACTAGTTACCATCAATAATCCAATGAAAAACAATATGCTATGATACTAACAAGATATATATTTATTACATATGAATGTTAATTGTAAGCTTATATTATATAACTAGGGTTCATGATTGTTGTATATCTTTGACTGGGATTTGTGAGGGTTGGGAAACTCCTGTCTACCACTTGACCTTTCAGTGCTAAGATGCAGTGATTTTTTGAGGGTATTTTTCGATGAGCTGAATATGTCTTATCCTACAGGAAATATGGTAATTTAGTAAATTAGTGATTATAGTCTTTATTTACATGAATGCTTGTGTCATATCACTCGACAGCATGTGTAATAAAATAAATTTTCTTATGAATGCCAGTTGGAGAAAAGACACTAGACGTCACGCGTGTCATTCCTGGCGACTGTTATAAAACCAGCATTTGCATGCCTCTGCATGCAAATGATTTTTCCTCAAATACCATTTACAGAAAGGTCACCTCAATTCGTGTAAATGATTAATGTTTTTATATCTGTGATTATGAGCCTATTTCAAAGTACCTCACAATTATACTAAAAATGGAATTTTTTTTTCACCAAAGTTAAGCAATGTCAAGCCTGGTCAGTACTTAATTGGGTGACTGCTTGGAAAAACCACATGCTGTAAGCTTGGATGTGCACGTGCTATAATGAAATGGCTCGAAATTGTTAATCAGAGAATTGAGTTCCAGTTCAATTTGTTATATTCACTTGTGCACACAAATACCCTTGAGAAAGGTTTCATACACTTGTTATCCTCCCAGCTATGGGTTAATTAGTAAGACTTGTATTGCTAAGTCATCATTATTGCAAAAAAAAAAAAACTTTGATGTTACAATCTAAAAATATTGTCTGGCTTTAAATAAACTGCAAAGGGTTGATAAGCCATAAAAACATATGAATCTATCACAATTATATATAAAATGTTTTGTTTTTTTTTGTTTGTTTTTTTTTTTTTTTTATACAATCCCAACTTTGTGAGCCAAGTTCAAATTCCAGGCTAGTCTGTTGCATTTATTCTTACACTAATATTCTTGGGAAAGACATGAATCCATCTCTTCCCTATGAGTTTAAATTTCAGGGTACTGTAAACTGTACTCTCTAGCCCTTGATAGCAACCAATCTAAGAGAAAGAAAACTCCAAACTGGAGAAGGCAACAGGAAATTACTCCACTATTTTCCCAAAAATGAATGGCAATTCAGACAATAAGAAAAAGGAATTGGTAGACAGTAATGATTGCCTACATCCTTAAAGGGACCTTTTTTCTTTTTTTTTTTTTTTTTTTTTTTTTTTTTTTTTTTTTTTTTAAAAACCCTTCACAAACATGGACCTTCATACCTGCAATAAGGCAGAGGGTTAAAAGGACAGTCTTTTTTTATGATACTGCTTTTTTAACTACCTTCACTCCTCAGCAATGTTTATTTTTAAAGTGATGATTAGAATTGGAATAAAATCTGGACATATGAAATTGAATTTATACATTTTTTTGTTCTTAAGAATTCACAATAAAAATAATAAACACTATTTATTTACACTATTTAATATATTATCTATTGAAATGGTTGGCAAAACCTAGGCTCATTGCCAATTGATTCAAACTTTATAAAATGGTAAATAATAAGAACTTCCTTATAGTTGGTTCACATATTTTTATAATTTAGTAAATGTTTATAAATTTACTAGCTGAATTACTCACGCTTGTGCATGTCACATTTTTCTGTTTTTTAAAGAAAATGATGATTGATTTTAAATGATTGTTATAATTTGTGGAGAAAAATTATGTATTTCAATATTATTCAATGATCTTGTCAATGTGACCTCCATCTTCTGACTTTCTCCTTCTATATTTTGGATAGGAGTCATTATGTTGTTCAAATTTAATTTAAATCAAAGGGAAAAAATTTTCAGTGGAGGGCTTTATGCAAAAAACTGCTTGATCTGACCACTTTGATATGTATATGGATGCAATACTTGATTGAATGAATTGATGAGCAGACTTCAACATTGATATGACAGTTGAATTGTTACAACAAATATGTATTGTAAGGCACTACCCACTGATCAGTGATTGCTTGCTCAACTTGACATCCATATTGCCTGATTTTAACCTTGCCTATGTGACCTCCATCTTCTGGCTGTCTCCTTCTATATTTTGGATAGGAGTCCTTCTCTTGTTCAAATTTAATTTAAATCAAAGGGGGGGAGTTTCAGTGGAGAGGGATGCTCCCTTCAGGGACTGTCTTTGATCAAAACGAAATGTACTTATCCAAGTACCCTGGGTAATGTATGTTCAGAATATATATTGTTATAGGAGGCTATCTCCAAAACCCTAGGATAAGTTCGATAACAGACAGAGGCTTCAATTTCACACACACACACACACACACACACACACACATACATATATATATATATAATAAATAAAAATTGTTTTCATATTTATTTCTTTAGAAATTGGTAAAAGAAAAAAAAGAAAATGTATAAATTCACTTTCATCACATGTTTAGGTTTTATTCCAATTCTGATCATCACTTTTTGCTGAAGAGTGAAGGTTTTGAAGGTAGTTAAAGCAGTGTTATGGGAAAATGGCACTGGCACTCTCCATTTTACCAAAACCTTTTTTTTTTTTTTTTTTTTTTTTTTTTTTTTTTTTTTTTTTTTCTTTTTTTTTTTTTTTTTTTTCTTTTTCTTTCTTCTTTTTTTTTTTCTTCTTTTTCTTCTTCTTCTTTTTCTTCTTCTTTTTTCTTTTTTTTTTTTTTTTTTTTTTTTTTTTTTCTTTTTTTTTTTTTTTTTTTTTTTTTTTTTTTTTTTTTTTCTTCTTTTTTTTTTTTTTTTTTTTTTTTTTTTTTTTTCTTTTTTTTTTTTTTTTTTTTTTTTTTTTTTTTTTTTTTTTTTTTTTTTTTTTTTTTTTTTTTTCTTTTTTTTCTTTTTTCTTTTTTAACTCCTAGCCTTATGCCAGACAAGGCATATTTTTCTTACATAAAATATTATTGCATCACTTTCTAAAAAGAAAAAAAGATTAATTTAAATGTGTGATAAAATTCAAATGGATATCTTAATGTTTTTTTTACTTTTTTTATTTCTAGTTTCCCAAATTTGCAGAAATTGTCCGTTTGACACTGGCTGATGGCAGCACAAGAAGCGGTCAGGTTTTAGAAGTCAGTGGCTCTAAAGCTGTTGTACAGGTATGTACTGGAAGAAAGGGCTTTTTTTTTTTTTTATTTTCATTCATTTTCTTTTCTTCTTTGTATTCATTTTCCTTCTTTTTTTTTTTTTATTTTCTTTCATGCAATTTAAGCAAATATTTACCAACTGAAAATGTTAACTTTTTTTTTCTTTAACCAAAATATCCAAGCTGTAAATTTTAAAGTACTAGAAATACTTCTTGATGATTATATTTAAAAAAAAAAAAAATAAATAAAATAAAATAGATGAATAAAAATTCTGTATTTGCTTCCTCTAGAACCTAGCAGCTAAATACTGGACGATAATTTAAGATTATATAATGTAATGTCTCCTGAAAAATATGTTGAGGCTTCTGGCCATATCATGTTGAAACACTGGTTTTATACGATCACCGAAGCTAACTTTTATCACACTGTATGTGACTTCATTTGCTGTACAAAAAGTTTATCTTGCCACTGAAGGTGACTCTGATTTCTGAATTTGAATTTCATAAATGTGTTGTCATATCCTGCTATGGCAACAGAAAACATCTTTGAGTGAAATTAACAATAAGGTTACTGCAATTGTGAGGCCTTGAAAAAGAATGCAGTGGAAAGGGAAGTAATATTAATAATGCAGAGTGCTCAAGGTTAAGCAGTGCCTAGATAGGTGATTGCTTGGGAATACCAGGTGCTGTATTCTTGGATGTACAGGTGGTGTATTCTTGGATGTACAGGTGTAATGGATAATGGCACAGAATTGTTAATCGGCCTATGTAAACAATTTTAACCTCTGTCAAGACTGGAAAGGGAGGAGTTGGCAACTTCAGACTCGGTATTGCAGCAATACTGCCTTTTGATCTGATCTGACTCTCGTAAAGAGTGTTGCAGGATAACTTGAGTACTTTCTAGTTTGGTAGGGCAGCCAACCTAAGAGAAGGAAAACTCTGATTTTAAGCTTCCGCTGCTTCATGGGGAAGAATATGGAGTAGATATAACTATTTAGCTATAGTGAAAGCAGCTTGGCTACTCAAAGGAAAATCTCCAATATAAAAACCATATTGTGAGGGTATGAATTCCAGGCTGATTTCTGTCACAGGTGAACTCACCTTATATAAAAGAGGATAGCCGCCTTTAAACCCACTTGTGTCAGGGTATGACAGCCTCTTCTAAGTTCCCCTAAACCAGCACAGGCTAGCAAAACTGACATGGTAATGCCAAACCAAAGATCTCCGGACCTTCACCATGTAATCAAAAGAACAAAAGAATGGGTCATCAGTCCCAAACTGCTGTTGAGACAATAGGAATCATCACTTCAGCGGCCTTGGACTTTTTTTTTTTTTTACTTTTGTTCATTCAATACAAGGCCCAAGAGCCCCTCAGGGTAGAGGGTGAGAGCAAAAGGTGAATATTATGAAGATATATAGGTAGATAATGGTTGACCATCAGCTTCAAGAGGTTGAGATTGTAGTGATCTGGAAAGACTCCTCTCAGGAGTTCATTCTATAATGCACCGGTTCTAGGGAAGAAGCAGTCTGGTACTTCTTCCTTGCCAATGGAATATAAAAGGAATGAGGATGAGTTGACTCAGTTCACATGGTATGGTGGGTTCTAGCTGCAACTGGTAGAACCAAGGAATCTAGTTTGCCCGAATGTCTGCCATGAAAAGAGCACTACAGTAGCAGCATTTCAGTGGGGAAAGATGGAAAACAATTTGTCACCTAAAACAGCTTGACTGATGCATTATATGTGACCAGAGGCAAATAAACATAGCCATTTAATGCTGGCTCTTTGGGAAAAGATGAATGGACAATGGATTTTTACCTTTCCCAAAATTATTAGTGTTGAATATCGGCTGGTTCCGTGTCAGTGACCATTACTACACTTGGACATCCAGCCGAGCATGAAAATTAAAGTGATGGTCAAAAAATAATAGTATTCTTAGTAAGTTTTTTTTTTTTTTTTTGCCATGGGGTAATGGGTAAGATTGCAGATTGTTGCTACTGTGTAATGAGTACAGGGTGGTCCGAAAGTCTTGTCACTCCCTACCAAAAAAAAAAAACGAGAGCAATAGAAGAACAAGTAATACAAAGCACCTTTACTGGATTCAGTTTATTCACTTTTATTGACGCTGTCACACATTTAGAAGGTCTGAATGAACACCATCATTTTCGTGTCGGCCATCTGAAATAGAAAATTATAATTTGTAGCAGTGACAAGACTTTCGGACCACCCTGTAGAGTAATTGGCCGTGGTTAAGTGTAACTGGCAAATGGAATTGACGAAGTCTCCAATAAACAAGAGAAATAAAAGAACAGAACAAAAACAATAATGAGCAAGCAAACAATATACAAGACAAAGCAACAATAATAAGGCTAAAAGTTCATAAACTAAGAATGGTGTTAACACACAAACGTGGGGTACATGCAAGCAATTGCAGTATTCTGACATCAAGTCATAAAGAGAAGAGATAGAAGTGGCCAATTTTATTGGCTAGGAAGAAATCCCAGCATGCATCTGTATGTAGTGTTGATAAATTTAGGGAGGGGTATGTTTTTGCAGTTATTCCCTATTGGATTGGTTCCAGCAATCCTCCATGGTCATTCTCTTGTGCTAGACACAATCTTCATTATACATTGTAACTATCTACATTTTTGCTACCTTTTTTAAATGATTTCAGGTATTTGAAGGTACATCAGGTATTGATGCCAAGCACACAACCTGTGAATTTACTGGAGATATTTTGAAGATGCCAGTTTCTGAAGACATGTTGGGTAAGGATTTTTTTTTTTTTTTTTGTTCTTAAATCTTAAATACTTGTTTTCTTTCAATTGATAACCAGTGTTAAATAATAGTTTAAGAAACTATTATTTTTCAGAGAATTGTATTTTTGCTCTGACTTTCTCATTTTGACCTTTTTGAGATCAGGTACAGGAAAATAAAGGAAGTCGATTGTAATTGCCTAAAACTAGTGCAGAAATGTTAGATAGAGAAATGGATTTCAGGGAGTCAAATTTTACGTGCGGAAGAATGTAGATGCGTTTCTTCATGTCTGGGAAGTAGCTTTCCAGCGGGGTGAGAGCAACCCCCACTGGCTAGTTAGAAATGTACACGTCGACGTGTTAAATAAAGTAGATAAGTTTTAAAATCCTTTTGTTGAAGTTCTCTTTTATCTCCAAACTAAAAAAACAACCAGTGATTACTGGCTGTGTGAGAGAGAGAGAGAGAGAAGGCAACGTCAATATGAGTGAATTGACACAGTCGCCCCAAGACCAAACCAACCCCAGAAACAGGGGCTATTCAACATTTTATTAATCGGTACAATGACAAAGAGAACCCCCAGAACAAGGGGGAGTATACAACACCAGCATTTGGAACCAGTTCTTAACATCTAAGAGTTAGTTCCAAATAATTAGTCTGAATTTCTGGGATAAGGAATTATCATTATTGTTATGGTCTGGTTCCTTGTACCACGGTGATAGTCAAAGGTAGAACCAATAAAGAACAACACAAACACAGGTATGGAATAACACAGATATATTACAAACAGGAATATATACAGAGAAGCAGAAAGTGTTAGTATGAACAATCAGGTTTAGTAGAGAGAACAATGTAGTCTCGACCAGTATCACTATTCCAATGACTTACTGTAATTGTCTGAACGCGACTCTGTTTCGGACTGCCTCTGACTCGACTCTTGACCCGACTTGAACTACTGACTGACGATATTCAGTCCCCCCCCACGAGGGTGTCATGTGGCACAAGGCCTTTTTAACGTGGGCATTCCGAGCCTCGGGTTCCTCCTGTCCGTAGGAAGAGAGTTCAACCGAACAGTCAGTAGTGAACTACTGACTGACTTCTTGCCTGCTCCTGAGGCACAGTATTTATTAAGTATGGAATAGTCCATTATTATTATTATTATTGGCAAGATCCCATAACAATTATTTACAATGGACTAATATCCTCATCTTTGTTGTTATTGTTCCAAGACTAGAATAACAACACTTACCAGCGTAAGGGTCCCAGCTAGTGTCCAGCTGGCAGACAAAAATAAAGCAGGTTGTAACTTAATACAAACCCTGCAAACTAACTGATGAATCAAGCTGGTATTTATACAGAAATACCTCCACTCATGTACCAGCAGCCAATCACAGCCCAAGCAATGGACTATCCCACTTTAGCACAATGAGATGCTCCATGGCACCATAAATAGCTCTCTTTCTCAAGGTGTAGGGGTCTTTTCCTCAGCTTGTTCCACAACTGAGTGTTTATCTTGACAACGTGATTGTTCTACAGTGACTTTCATACTTTGGGTGTTTGCTGACTCAGGTAAACTTCAGTGAAATTTGAACTGAACTCTTTGTTTAATCTGTGATAGTAAATTGTTCTTGTTCCACTGTCCAAAGGGGTTGCAGTCTGCGGAGTTAGGTGGCAAGATGAAAAGAGTGATACGGTCGCAGGTATTGTCTGACAGCCACGACTCTGTTCTCCTGCTTGTGTGACATGGTGCAGAATCCTGTTGCCAGGCATAGGGTTTCCAGCAGCCACCCTCTTGACAAAGGGCAGCACTACCCCCTCAAGGCACTTGATGTAGGCCTCTGTGTTGCATCTTCAGGCCCTGTGAGAAAATGAATGGAGGTATAATGTTCCCATCACTAGTGATCACTCCAAACACCTTCGTAATCACCATTAGGCTCATCCAACTCTCTGAATCCTCTGCACTGTCCTCAGATTGACACCTGAACACTCTGAAATGTTTGTATTGGAGCTTCCAGCGTGAATGCCAAGCAGTACAGCATGCCGTTTCCAAATTTCTGGCGGAGTGAATTGCATCATGGTGCCCAACTGACCCAACTATACTGTGCAGTCAACAAAATCAAAAACAAACAGCACACATGCAAGAAATTAAAATTTAAAATGGTGCCAATTTGACCATCACGCCTTCTGTGTGTATATTGTATGTTTGTATAGATGATGAGAGGCTAATGAAAGAAAATCAAGACAGAAAATGATAATAAAATAATATTTATTGTATATTACTAGTTCTTTATACCAAATAGAAGCATGATGAGATTATTATTATTATAAGGAATTAGTTTGTGTGTGCGTGTGTGTGTATATATATATATATATAATGGACTCTCCCATCGGTTTTGACGTATGAGGATCTGACAGCTTAACTGATTCAGTTATGAAATTTTGTGCGATAATCTTAAGTGGCACTTAAGACCTGCTAGTGATTTACAAAAGTGGCCACATATGGAGCAAGAGTGAGGATTATGAGATCAATGTTAGATTGGCTGACCTTTTAGATGTTGCTCTCGCTTCTTGAAGATGATTCAGACAAGCAGATCGAAAATTGCTGAATCCACTAAAACATGTTGATCTCCATTCTACCCACTTCAAGGCTAAGGTGTTATGCGGTATATTGACAGCTGACGATTAAGATTTATAATCCGATGTTCTTAGCAATTATTTTTTTAAAAATGCTCGATACAAACAGTAGAGCAAGATATTATATTTATTTTCTTTTTTCTTTTATTTTTTTTAAGTGATGGAATCATATTTTTAAAAAAGAAAGTGTGTGTGTGTGTGTGTGTATATATATATATATATACACACACCAAGACCAAAGATAGACTTTATCTGATCTTCAAACATCTTTGATACCAAAGCAACTACTAACACACACTGCACTTAATTTTTCTTTTTTTTACACTGCTGGAAAAAAACATCCTCTTTGGGCAGTTCACTGGAGAAGGCCATAGAATGCATCAGCTGAAACATTGACAAAATTATAGACACAAGAAATTGCCTGAAAAAAAGAAAGCTTTGGAATGTTGTGGACTTTCCTCAAAAATGTAGACAATTGCAGTTTGGTATAAAGATGACTATTTTTTTTTTATTTTTTTTTTAATTATAATACTCTCTCTTTTTACAGGTCGTGTCTTCAATGGCTCTGGTAAACCCATTGACAAAGGACCTAACGTTTTGGCTGAAGATTACCTCGACATTCAAGGTGAGTTTATAATAAACTGCCTTTATGTGCCTTTCATCTTGAGCATGAAAGATGAATAGAAATAAAAAAAATCAAATTAATTCTTAATTTCAATTTGAATTTCTCAGATTAGCCAAATACCCGTCCTATGAACAGAGAAAAGTAAATTGTCATAGAAGCTCTCTTACCTCTCTAAAATTAATCCTTAATTTCAATTAGAAACGCTGAGAGAAAACATTGAATAAATTTCTAATTTTTATATTAATAACTAGCCTAGAAGCCACCCTTTGGGCAGACTTTAGGCTACCTTCTGCAGAGGGCTTTTGGGTCTTTAGTCTTGTACATTCAGCATCCTATGTATATAAAAAGTTATAAGAATTTAGATATAATAAAATTATTTTATTTTTATTTGACACCTTCATTCGGCATAATCTTTCTTTGTATACACAACCGATCTCCATAGTTTGTTTACATTTATTTTGCACACAATTTTTATTTTCTTTTAAAATCACCATTCTTTATGATCCCTTCACATAAAGCTACTCTTAAAAGACATTAGGGAACTATGTAATATTTTGAATATGTCCCAGTACACATGCTAAAAAAAATTTAAAAAAAAATCATATGAGCAATATACTGTGCCCTGCTTAAGTTTAAATTACAGTTTAATTAGATGCTATCAATTGCAATTGTGATAAAAAGTGAAATTAAAGTTAAACCTTTAACCTTTATCCCACTGCAGGCGACAATTGTCACCGTAGAATTCTCTCCCTTTGCTCCTCTCGGCGTATTCTGTCACCTTGAGATGGTTTCTATAAGTAAACACTTGTCAACTTCATTCTGGCTAAGACGTTAAACTACATCCACGTCCTGGGAAAACTATAAACTGCGTCCAACAGCAAGGCCTCTGATCAGGAGGTTTTGAGGAGCGTGGAACCACCTCTTAATTGCTGGTGTTCCCAGGTCTACCCTGACCCAGGGTGGTAGCACCTGTTAGGGTCCCAGCTATTGGCAAATAGTTAACTATTTACCAGAAACAGATTTTTGACAAAACAAATTATTACCAGCAATAAAAAATATTGTCGGCATTAAATAACCCATTGAGGTGTTGATATGCTGTAAAACAAAATAAACCAAACCAATCAAAACCGAAGGATACATATTCTTTTCATACGAATCTATCCTAAAAATGTTGTTGGCATTAAATAACCCATTGAGATTGATATGCCGTAAAAAAAAAAAAAAAAAAAAAGCCAAACCAAACTTATCAAGTGTTATTTCCCGTATTTTAAGCTGGAAATCGCCTACTACTGATTTGAAAGAACGTTAAATTTCCATTTTCCAACCTGATTTTGAATTCTTCTATACTCTACGTGTGATGTAACACTGATTAATCCCACGTTAATTTTTAATTAATTTTTTGTAAACAAAAATGGCCATGTCAATACCAAATGAAGCATTTATTCATGTTTTTTTTGTTTTTTTTTTAAAGTATTTGGTTTTATTTCGCGTTTCAATTTTTTTTGTTTTCAACATCAAAACATGCATGCAAAATGTAATGCATTACATCAAAACATTACTCATTCTTTTATTAGTATACGAAAATTAAAATCTATACACACAATACAAAGAAAGTTATAACAATTTTAAAACAGTCGGTGTTCATGTTTTTGCACCCTCGAAAAAAAATGCAGTGGCAGGGGAGACAACTCTAGAAAGAAATTAGCGTGGTAATGGTTAATAAATTTTTTTTTTTTTTTTTTTTTTTGAGCTTTTACTCTGTTTGATATTTAACTTTAAATGAGTCATTTTATTTAATTTTAAGTCGTGTCTAACTACAGTAGTTAACTACCTGTTACTTCAGGTTGTTTTTGACTCGCCATGATTGAAAAACGGACACACGTACACTGTGCTTTATTTGTATAGATAATGAATTAATTCAGCAAACTTAATATTTTGTGACTTGGTTAAATAATTCAGTCCAGTTTTAAGAAAATCTAATTAAACAGATTAATTTCCACAAGTTCTGCTTACAGTCTTCCAGGGAAGCAATTTTTCAAAACCCAAATAAATGTCTGATCTAAAGATGGTGAGATACTTAAGAAATCTGGCAGGTGACTGAAAACTTTCCAACCAAATTGTGACAATTTTTACCTGGTCATGAAAGAAATGTGTGGTCTCGTGTTATCCGGATGATGATATACCTTTACTCTTAATTAAAACCAGAAGGTTTTCAGCCGATTCTCCCTTCAAGTGGTCTAATTGGGAACAGTACTTGTTCAAATCAATCATTTGCTTCTCCAGGAGGAATTCACAATTAAGGACTTATTTCCTATCCCATCATATACAATGGGTCAAATAACTATCCGTAATGTACAAACGATCAATATTTACCTTTTCCCAAACTAAAAGACTCAAATAATAG